AGTAAGGGACAAGGGGGGCCCCAGTCAGTGGCTCCCCCATGGTGGAGCCATCACAAGACTCCCGTCCCACCACCCTCCCACCCGCAGTACCTGGAGGTCCTTGGCCCTCTTCCTCTCCATGGCCCAGGCTGCTGGAGGAAGTGCAGGAGAAATGGGTCAGACCAACATGGAGCTCCCTTTGCTGAAGGGGAGCATTTTGGGGGGTCCCAAGCCCTTCCCCATGGGTGTCACATTGGCTCCTGTGCAGCCTCAGGTCTGGCCTGACTTTGCCAAGAGCCCTCTGGACTGTGGGGCTCAGTGGGTTGGGGTCCTGAGGAGGGCTCCAGCCCCTTTCGCCCCGAGCCCTGTTCACGCCCTGGGACAGGAGCGGGAGGGCGGCGTGTGGTGTGCTGGGGTGGGGGGACGGGTGCTGGGGAGCCACCCCGCAGAGGAGGGCCACAGCTTGGGGCCCCAGATCACTTGTACCTCTGCTCTTCTCCAACGATGCTCTTCTCATCCTGTGGCAGACGATGACACCCAAAACCAGCGCAGCAGAGGGTGTCAGGACCAGGACAAGCAGGTTTGGGGTGCTACAAGGGGAGAAAAGGGTGTTACTGCCCTTCTGTGCTGCCCCCTCTGCAGCCCTGTGCCCTGGGGAGGGCTTTCGTGCCTGTATTTAGCACAACCCTGGCGGGTATGAAACTCTGCGGGCTGGCAAGGATGTTCCAAGGATTTCTCCCAGGTTTCCTGGCCAGGGATCCATGCACGGGTACCTGCAATGTCTGGCCAACTTGGCATGAGCGAGTTGCACAGATTCATCCCCCACCTCCATGGACAAGTCCCCAGACACAGCACACACCCGCCTGGGGTGTCGGGGTCCCCCGCAGCCCTGCGGGAGCTGGGCAAAGGCTCTGGGAGCCCCAACCAGTGCAGCCCTGTGGCATGCAGGGGTACAGCAGCCCCCTTATCATCACATTTTGCTTTCTCCAGAGATGCCCCACTAGCCCCAAAGCCCTGTGGGCAGGCTGGAGCTGGATGCTGCATCCTCGGGCTGCCTGGTCCTTGTGCTGGGGACAGTCCCTCTCCTGCCCAGTGGCCCTGGCACTCACACAGCCTGCAGGCTTCTGATTTTCGGTGTGGACACGGTGTTTTCCAGCTCCAGGGGAGTCCATGGGAAGGTGGGAGCAGATGTGGGCTCTTCCCCCTGTGTCGTGTGGAGGTCATAGTGTGTTGTCTTGGGCACTGTGGTGGAAATAGATGGGAAGCAAAGCACCGTGGTGTGTGTTACCTGGTCCTGGGCTGTGGCTGAGGTTGGTGACTGGGGGCTTCGGGACCCCAGAGGCTGCCGGCGGGGAGGTGATGGGAGGTGGCTGGGAAACACCAAGCATGGCCCCAGGGGGGCTGTGTGCACCACGGGAGCAAGGTGGGGGATGCTGGGGGATCACCGAAGGCAGCTGGGAGGGGGATTTCTTCCATCCCCGGCTCTCCCCGTCCTCCCTCCCAAGCTCCCCTCTCTCCATTCCCTCTGCCCCTCCAGCCTCCATCAAAGCAGAACAGCCATGCCAGGTGCTTACCTGGGAGAACAGACACCATGACAGGGAACATGGGGTCATACCAGGCTACCTGGATCCCACACCAGTACTGATCCCCGTCCTCCACTCTCAGGTTCTCCATGGTCACCACGAACACGTGCCGAGTGGGGTCATCTTGCAGGGAGACCCTGTCCCCCCATGCCTTGTCCCCAGGGGCCGTGGTCTGAACAAGGACGGAGCAGGAAAACCAGCTGCTGCCCCTGCACCAGTACTTATTGGCATCCACCAGCTCTGGCTCGTACTCGCAGGGTACCTCCACGGAGCCCCCCGGGAAGCCGCTCACCTCCGCGGGGCCCTGCAGAGCCCAGCATCCTGCAGGGACAAAGACCGTGCCAGCCTTTGGGCAAGCACAAGCCCACGCACAAGCCTCCTGCCAGTCCCCAGCCCATTGCCCATCCCCTTGCCACACGAACTGCTTCGTGCTGCCCCCAGAAAACCTCTCCCATAGCGAGCGGAGCTGCAGCCCGGGGGTCCTGCCCCGAGGAAGGCTGCCAGGAGCTGTGCAGGGGTGGGCACTGGAGACGCACGGGGTTCGAGGTGGGGGGAGGCTGTGCGGGGTCAGGGGCCGAGGAGGGAGGGAGGGCACG